AGGGGGAAAAATGAGGAGCTGATGTCAGGGGCTTAAGTGGAGAGCAAATGTTTTGAGAATGGTGAGGGCAACAAATGTACAAATGTGCTTGACACCATTGATGTATGGGTGGATTGTGATGAGTTGTATGAGCCCCCAATAAAATGATTAAGAAGAAGAAGAAGAATGGTCCCTGGGCGGGTGTGGAGCTGGATTCTCCCTCCCCCTTGCAGAGCCAGAGGAAGGCACTTGTGGCCCGCATGCCATTTTTGAACCATGTCAACATAAGGCCAACCCTCATCACCAGGCGGCTGGAGCATCAGCAGAACCTTCCTCCCTTCTCTGCTCTGGGACGGCGACGGCGTCTCCACTGCCAGGAGGAAATTAGCTGCACAAACACAACCAGAGGAGGCCCTGGGTGGTGCCAGCAGTTGCTCGGCTGCCAACTGACTGCTTGGGGGTTTGAGTCCACCCTGCAGAGCCTCAGAAGACAAGTGGGGAGATCTGTTCCCAAGAAGTCAGCCAACGAAACCCTTCAGGGGCAGCTATACTCTGAGATGCACGGGGCTCAACTCAACTGCGGCTGCCTTGGTTGGCTTTCTCGTTTTCGCACAGGATCTGTTGCCTGTTTTGGGTTGGAGGGAAGAGGAAGAGAAGTTCATACTCTTGCAAACTTTTTTTCCCATTGGGTTACAGCCTTACAGACAGGAACACACTCACATTTTCCACGGATGCCTTTTTTATCAACGTACACACCCACCCAAACACCACCCAGACCAAGATCTGGGTCACTTCTACGACCTTGTGCCCCCTCCCAGGCCCTGCTCACCTCCCTTCACTTCTAAGGCCACACACGACATTAGTTTTGTGGGTTCCTGAACCGTGTACAAAGGGACTCACACAGTGTGAGGAAGCGGGCACTCAGGCCCGCCTTCTTTCCCTGTCCACAACGTGTCTGAGGTTCACTCGCCTTGTTTAAGCCGGCTTGCTTCCTCTCACCACTACACAGGACAGAGGTCAGAGAACCTCTTCTGCCAAAGGCCATGCAGGTGTTCATTCCATCACTCACAGGCTGTCCTGGCTAAACATTCTGCTACCTCACCCCGAAAGTGATGGCAGGACCTGCTTCTCTTGGGGGAGGCGTGTGACGTTCGCAGGGATTGATGCTTTCCTGGGCCCTCGATGGCCCGCAGGCTGGATGCTCCCCACCCAGGTCGTAGAGGCCATCCCCAGCATCGACTTTAATAATAATAGCCCACTTTAATATGTGGGTTAACCCGAAAGGTCATATTATTGAGCCCCACTAAAGAATGGAGCCCTGGTCTCTCTCTCTCTCTCTCTCTCTCTCTCTCTCTCTCTCTCTCACACTCTCACACACACACACACACACACACACACACACACACACAGTCTCAGCGTCATTAACCACCTGCAGGTCCTCAACCAGTTACCGTACTCCTTTGAGGTTTCCCTTCCCAGGGACACATCCCACCCAGCATCAGCCTGTGTGGACATGCAAGTCAAACTGTGAGCATTTAGGACCAATGACCAGCAGGCAGCCCAGGGGCCGTGGGCACTCAGGCACCGGTCTCTGCTCCCTCCCTCTTACCTAACCAAAGCCAGGTCCCAACTTCTGTACCCTTGTCAATGCTGCTAGGTGGAGATCTCTAAGATAAACCAGGGAACTTCAGAAAGCAGGTGGAGATTTTCCATTATCTTTTCATTGCATGTTTCCACGAACTCTCTTAAGGCCTTTCCTGATATTACCTGATGCACTCACACAAAAGCAGGGCAGGCTGCTTACTTTGTCCCCTTGTGCATAGAGAACAGGTGGGGCATCCGTTTATACTGGCTGGGCGCTCAGAGAGGACCAAGACGCTAATGGAGGCTGGGGTTGTTGGGGAGTGGCTACTAGGGGCGGGGTGGGAACATATGGCACAGTGTGCCCTTTTGTAGCGTTAGGGCTTGGACCCGGGAGACAGATCCTGGCTTCAAACTTTCCTTCTATGCTTACGTTGATCATTTTTTTTTTTAAATTGAGAGTTTTGTAATTCAGAATCCTTCCAACAGATGGGTGCCGGCAGTTGGATCTGAGTCAGGGTAACCACGGAGAAGACTTCTGCACCCTACCTGCTCACCTCCTCTGTGCCCCCCACCAGCAAGGCACACCTGTCGTGTGTGTGCAGAGCAGGGAGGGGACGTGTGTGGGTGCATCTAGGTGGTAGGCGCACTCCCTAAGCATCTGGGGTGGCATTTGGTCATACTAAGGGCAATGCCCTAAATGTCTGGGAAGGCCTAGACCAGGAGCCTCCCCCTCTTCTCCATGCCCTGCCCCCAGCCGTCCTGTCTACCACCAGGCAACTACAGTGAGGAATGGCGGTCTGTGCTTTGAGTTTCTCTGTGCGTGTGTGCAGGTGTGCCTTCACATCCACACACGTACGTGTGCCTGGGAGGGAGGGAGTACATGTGGGTGCAAGGACGTGTGTGTAGAGATGGGGGTGTGGATACAGGTTTGCGTGTGTCTATCTGTGGGGGAGGGTGTCCAGGTAGGGGTGTGTATATGTGTACAAAGGTGCCTATGCAAATGTGTGGCTATACTCAGCATGAACGAGAACAGATTGCCCCTTCAAGGCAGGCAGGCCGGCCCGTGGGATTCAACAAGTGGGTGCCACTCAGGACTATCACTCTGCCCAAAAGAGCAGCCAAGTCCCCCCACCTTCCCAAAAGACAGTAGCACGGGCCAGACCCAGTGCCCCACAACCAGGGCACATGGGTGATGAATGAACACACCGAGTGTGGCAGGGTGCCCCCTCCCCTGACCCTCACTGCCCTCCACACTGCCTTTCTAGTCAGGCTTGGAGAAGCCAAGGAAAGGCTGGTGGGTAGACCAGGACGACCGGAAGGAGCTGGGGTATGTCAGGGAAGGACCCTTATCCCCAAAGAGCTCTCAGCAGGGAGTCAAACAGCCCTGTCCTGGGGTCTGGAGACACCCCTTGTAAGAACTGAAGGCACCTTCCCTCAGGGAGCCAGCCCAGTCACAGTTCCCCCTGCTGTCCCCTCACTCAAAATGGGGTGTCTGGCTCTAAAAAAGAAAACACAGGAGCAGAGGACGCCTGAATAGAGCAGCTGAGGAGCACGGGAAAGGCAAGCCTCTTTTTATTATCTTAAAATGCAAATTATTGAAGGCACTTACAATAACGAGGCAGGAGGGGTAAGACTATAGGAGGGTGTGGGTCAGAGGAAGAGGTAAGTCAAGGGGCCCTAGCCTTGCCAGGCCCAGAAGGAAAAGCTACAGGCCAGGTCTGGAGCTAGTCAGGACATCTAGCTCTACAGAAGAGAAAACTCCATCCTACCGAGGGTTAGGAGATCAGGAGCACATGGCAGCAAAGGGCACGGGCTAGCGGTCACGAGTTAGTGGTTCTTGAAGGAACACGCTTGGCAGTGAGGAAGGCCCTCAGTTCCCCTGCTGGAAGAGGTCTCGGTACATCTCGATGAGGCGGGCAGCCTCCCGCTGGCCAGAGAGTAGAGCACCATGGGTTGTGGAGTAGTACTTGCGGTGGGTAGCCTCCCCCGAGAACAGCACCTGCATGGGCTAGTGGCAGAAGCGGGAGTAAGGGTGGAGGAGCAGCAGCTGCCATCTGCCCAAAGCCCCATTCCATACTATAAGTCGGAGAGGAGAAAGCAAGTGCCTGAGATGCAGGTACTGCTGCTTTCAGAGGACGAGGCGCTGCCCATGCCACCTTCCCCTGCTTCTTTCCCAAACATCGAGGCCTGTGAGCACTCTGCCCTGAGGCGGTTTGGAGTGCTGCCTCTGCACTCTCAAAGGCACATCGTGCCTCTTACGTAAGAACTCAGACAAGTGCTTTAACTTCCCTGGGCCTTGAGTTTTCTCAACCACAAAATGGGTTTATATCACCTATTTTTGCAGGCGGCTGCAAGGGTTAAGTGACATAATGTGTCTAAAGCACTTAGAGCCCGGAAGAACAAAAGCACTCGATAAAGTGAGGTGGGAATTTAACAAACCTTTGTGGAGCCCCTATTATGGTCCTGGGACTGTTCTGGGCACTTGGAAGATAAAAGGTGACCGGGCTGCTGCTTTGAGGAGCTTCCATGCTGTATGCAGACACGAAACCCAATTACTACACAGCATCATGTGTGCTGGCATGGGTGTTAGGGTGAGGTGTGGAGGTCAGAAAAGAGGCCGACTGAGAGGCAGGTTGTATAAAGTTTCCCAGAGGTCACAGTGTTCAGACTGCTTCTGGGAGGGTACTGGGTGACTAGGCAGGCAGAGAGCATGAGGGAAAAGTTGCGATTCACTGGAGCAGGCTCACTCTGGGAAATGGAAAGCATTTTGGTACAGACAAAACTCAACCTGGAGGGAGCAGGTGTCTCCGCGGGGTTGGGATGAAGTACAAGTTCTTGCATTCCAACCTGAACTTTATCCCAGAGCCTCTCAACATGGCTGGACATCACTGGGGGAGCCTGACACAAGGCCATGTTGAATTCAGCAGGTCTGGGTTGGGGCCTGAGCTCCTCCATTTCTAACAAGCTGCCCAGAGATGCTGCCACTGCGGGTCCATGGACTTTGGGTAATAAGGCTTCACCCCCTGAGCCAGGAGCTCACCACAGCTGTACTGATTCTGCCCTCCACCCATCCTCCTCCTCCTCCTCCTAAAAAACCTGGAGCTGTGAACTGGGTTCCCTGCCACCCAGGAGAAACAGCCTATCCCAGATTCTCTAGCATGTAGATATAGTCAGATGACAGCTCTGGCCAATGAGCTGTTGGTGCACCTATGGGTAAGGACACCTGGCTGGGCGCCAAGGACTCCCCTCTTTTGCTTGTCGGCCTTTCCTCCTCCTTCCAGCCTAGGATGCAGGAGCAATGGCTACCGTCTCAACAGCCATGCTAGGCTGCAAGGTGAGCCGAAAGATGGCAGAGCCATGTGCTAATCAGCCAAGCTCCTGAGCCCTGTCCCCAGCTTTCCTCGGCGTGAGAAAAGTAACTCTCCGTCTTGTCTTGTCTAAGCCATTGTTCCTTTCAAGTGGTGGTTGTTCTATGCACTGCTCCTACCCAGTACAGGTGACAAGGTAAGCTTTGCTCTTTGGGGAGGATGGTTATGGCAGTGGGGAAGATCCTTTCTGGGGGCCTCCGTGCAGATTTTTAAGCATTGGCCCTTTCCTCCCCTGCCCCCCACCCACTCCACCCACCACACAGCTGGGCTGGCATGAATCCTGGTGGTTGATGGACATCTTCACTGATTAAACCAAAGAACTGTGTTAAACACCATTCTCCCTGTGATTTGAATATTGATTATCGGCTGGAACCCCAGGGAGGTGGCTAATGTGCTCAGCTGCTAAGGTTTGAGTCCATCCAGAGGTGACCTGTGGCACAGACCTGGTGATGGGACTGCAAAAACGCAGCATCCTATGGGGCACGGTTCTACCATGCCTGGGCTCACTGCAAGTCATTTTCCTAATACTGTACGCTTGACGGAAACGCCTCGTAGGAGGGAAAAAGACATGTAACGACTTCTCTGAGACTGACTGCTATTTTTCTCTCAGTGTCTCAAACTCAAACTCACCCCCATCAAGTTGACTCCAACTGATGGCTACCCTATGGGACAAAGTGAATCTGCCCCGGAAGTTTTCTGAGACTGCGAATCTTTCTCCCAGGGAGCAACTGGTGGGCTTGAACCACGGATCTTGCAGCTAGCAGCTCAGTGCATCTAGTTGTTAATAATCTGAGGGAGGGTCATTCCCAGTGAAAGACACTGGGAAACTTCCTTCCATAGAATCGGTACACCGACACAACTTTCCACAATGACGGGCAGGTTCTATAGCTCTCGCCCGGCGGCCACCGACAGCACATGGCTCGTGCAACTGAGAGCCTACGATCCCAGCGGATTTACGCTCCATGCAAATTAGGAAAGTGAAGTTGACAGCTCCGTAGCTAATGGCTGCCAGATTAGCCCAGCGTCGGCTGGGTCAACTTTGCTAACCTCAAGAGGCTGAGGTCTCAGTGTGAGCCCATCTTTGCTTCCAGATGTTGAGCGCTCGGCTGCTTCTTGCTTTCTCTTTCAGTAGAGAAGCTGTCCTCCCCCACTCACCCCTTGGTGAACACAACCCCACCCCTCACCCTGGACCAAGTGTCCCTAGGAAGTACCCACACCGTGCCCTCGAGCCGTCCAGCACCCCCACACTCACCGCAGCCTTGGAGCTCTCTGTGTACGGCAGGGGCTTGGCCAGCTTCTCCACATCGGCCCCACTTGAGCCCACCTGTGTGTATGAATAGGAGCCTCGGAAGTGGGGGTTGCTCCCCCAGGCCGAGCGCAGGATTCGCCGAGGTTTAGGAATATTAGGGTTCCCTGTTGGGGAGTCAGAAGAACCAAGGGAGGGGAGAATAAGCAAGGCTGCATATCCATGACATCACTAAGCGGGCAGCCCAGCCCAGTCCCAGGGCTTCTGGAGGGCCAGGCTGCTATGGGATAGGGCTGGGGGGGGGGGCACAGAGGATGGAAGAGGGCACATAGGGAGGACAGGGTTCTAGTTGAGCACCCATTCCCTGCCTCCCTGAGCTCTCCAGAGAACTCCCCATGTTTCTGGGGCTTCCTTTTCTCCAGTTTTAAAAATCATCACAGATAATAATGGTTCCCTTTCTAACTTCAGGGGTTCTTGTGAAATCTTTAAGGAATACCCAAAGCAACCTTGCCTTGCAAGTCAATTCTGCCTCACAATGATCCTATAAGGAGAATTAGAACCGCTCCATAGGATTTCCGAAGCGCTTACATCTTTACAGAGGCCGGCAGCTCCATCTTTCTCCCTTGGAGTAGCAAGTGGATTTGAACCAACTTTGCACTTAGCAGCCCAATCCTTAACCCACTACACTACCCGAGCTTATGGATACTACTCTACTCATGAACTTATGGATGGAAAATGCTCACCTTAAATAAGTTGAACAGTAAGAAACAAACCCACCCCTTAGCAAGACGTTGATGTCTGGGCTTTTACCACCAGGCTCTGGAATAAACATGACACCTAGCTCTTTGAAAGCTTCATGCTGAATGGATGCCAGGTGGGGCCACTTCTGGTGACCACCACGCCAATCAGTGTGCAGACAGCCTGGAGTGCGTGAGGAGAGCTAAGAGGAAACCCAGAGTCCCTAAAGAGCCCTGTTGAAGTCGTGGGTTACACGCTGGGCTGCTAACTGCTCCCTGGGAGAAACATGTGGCCGGCCGCACCTGTAAAGATTTCCAGTCTTGGGAACTCTAGCAGGGTCGCTGGGAGTGGGAGTCAACTTGATGGCAGTGGTCTGGGTGTTTGCTCAGGTCAGTGTTTCCCACAGCGGCCAATACCGGAGGAGAATGACCAGCAGGTGCCTAACATGTTCTCCCTGATTACAGGCTACAGGGCAAGAAAACTTAATAGGGGGGAGCTGAGTCAATTCTCCCCCCCTTGAAAAGGGAGTGGTGGGCCAAATAAGTTTGGGAACCTAGGGCTTAGGTAGTGCAAAGAGTTAGTTACTAGCCCTCAGCTCCTAACAGAGAGATTGGTGGTTCAAATCCATTCACAGGCACCTTGGAAGAGAGGCCTGGAGAGCAGTTAAAAAACCTCTGGAGCACTGTTCTGTTCTGACAGACAGGAGATTGCAACAGCCACTGGTTTTTACCAGAGAGTGGGAGTCCCTGGCTGGAGCAAATGTGACCCCACTCGGCTCCTAACCACTAGCCAGGAGGTCTGAGTCGGCCCTGAGGGATCTTGGAAGGAAGGCCTGGTGATGGATTCCGGAAAGATTAGTCACTGAGACCCCACTGCACACAGTTGGACACACATGGATGGGGTGGCCATCCATGGTTGGAATCGCTAGACGTCAACTGGTTTTCCCCGCACACGGAGGCAGCCCGTGGAAGGGTGGAGAAGGTGAGGGTGGCGGGGGCACCCACCTGTGAACTGACGCAGCATCTCCGTGCAGATCTCGGCCACAGCCTCATCGTCACACTTCTCCATGACAAGGGCCTCCTCCCCGCAGATCCAGCCGCTCAGCACGTGGCCGTAGCGCTCGGGCGGGTAGAGGACGTCGAAGCCGCAGATCTTGCGGTACCAGTGCTCAGGCGGGTAGGTCAAGGTGCGGCTCTCCGCCTCATCCTCCCACACAAACTGTAGGCTGTTGCACTCGGGGCCCCAGAAGGGCTCCTCGAATTCCAGAAAGATCTTGTCGGTGGTGCTGATGCCCAGGCGGTGGATGGCAGCCACTTTCTCGGCGGGCAGGCCTGGCCGGAAGAAACTCGAGTACTGCCTCTTGAGCACGCCCAGTGACATGGTGACGATCACGTGGTCCGCCGGGACCACCTCACAGTCTTCGCACTCCACCAGCACAGGCCACTGCTCGTCCTCACCCCGCCCGTCCTCCCGGGGCTCCTCTCCTCGCTGCTGGCCCTCCCCGGGGTCATGATTGTGGTCACCCTCCCTCCGGGGCTCGATCTCGGGGCCACGGGGGCGGGCCGAAGCCTGGTCCCAGTGAACACAGCGGACGGGCTTCCCCAGCTGGATGACATGGGCGGGGATGCCCCGGGTCAGCAGCTCCACCACCCGCATGAAACCCGAGGGGATGATGTGGTGCGCGCCAGGAATCTCGGTCCACTCCCCGAAGGCGCTCAGGGACACTTCGTCCATGCTGTGCGAACTGCTCTCACAGCTCTCCACCTGCAGGCAGAGCCAGAGGGGGCTGTGGTGAACCCCAGAGCAGGGGGTTGGTGGGGTGAGGGGGGGGGGGAGGCAGCATGGAGCAACAAAAAGCCCCTACCCACCCCCACCCTAACCCAGACTCCGGGGTGCTAGTTTTCCTCCACTTGTCTCCCGCCCATCAGCAGCAAGATCTACCTTCAGGTACTGCTGGATCATGGCAAGCTTCAGGCGCTTGGTGGCCTCTGAGTCGTCTGGGTCATCCCGGATGCGGTTGCGCACCTCCTCCCGGGTGAACACCCCCACGCTGTTCTGACTCTCAGCATTGACTGGTTTACCTCGCTGGAAGAACTCCTGGGTCAGGTTATAGACCTGCCAGAGAGACCCGGGGTGCTGAAAACCCATGCCACCCCACCCCACCCACAGTCATCACTCAGCTGAATAGCATCATCAACCAGAGTGGGGTCACCGCACTGTCCACAGGAGGACGACTGGAATGTCCAAAGTTTGGTTATATGTAGATTTACCACAACCAGGGGTGGGGGGTAGGGGGTTGCTATCTCTCAGTTGTGCTGTGCCCCCACTGTACTGAGGGGCACTGACAAGGTCAAGTTTCCTATGGGCCTCCAGGAAGGCCAGCTGGGCCTGTGAGGGAGGGGAGTTGGGCCCTGTGGCTCAGACCAGGGTGCAATGCCAGGTGCCCATCCAGTGTCTGCCTCCTGCCCCAGGGTGGCCCCCAGGGCCCTGTGGGAGCCTGGGTGTGCACATACTTCCCTTGCCCAAGACCCAACAGTGCACACGCTTCCCCTGCCACTCCTACCAGCATGTCTGCTTGATTCCTTCCCCCTAAGGACTGTAGGATGCTGTGGTCAGGCCACTGCTATTCCTTCTGAGGGACTGGCAGTGTTGCTCTTTGGCCGAACATCTGTGGCTGTGACTGAATCCCTGGTGTGGGTCCCTTTGCAGAGCAAGTGTGGATTCCATAAGCACACATCCAGGAAACAATGTCCGTTCTGTACCCCAGCCCTGCCATCGACTGGGGGCCACCGAGTGACAAAGGCCCAGCCTACTGAGTTCCACATCCACCCCCACTCCATGCCATTCCACTCAAGGAAAAGGCCTCCACATGAGCTAGAAACATGAATTAAACATGTCTCTGAAGGAGAAAAATGAGTCAAATTGTTCGTTTCCCCTCCCTTATAGTCACAAAACGTTAGGCATTTGGCCTTAACTGGGGTTCCCATCAAATTCCTCAACCAGAACCACTGCCAAAGAACTGGACCTTCAAGTTGCTTCCTCCACCCCACAGCCCCGTTCCCAAGTGTTGTTTTCTGCCTGCTCCCCCACCCTGTGGGTGATAAGTAACATGGTAGCCAGTCCTTGGCTTACATTGACTGAAGGCCAAAATGCCCCACTGAAGAGTAACAAATGTCTTCCCACAGCATGATTCAATTTTGGGGCCAACCACTAGTAAGCCTTAACTGAACGTGGGTTTGTCATAAACACATAGTCCTTCGGTCTTGCGTTAGCTGACATCTTCACAAGGTGGTCAAAGGGAAACAGGACAGGTCTGTTAAACGGCTCATTGTGATGGCGCCAATCCTCATCAAGCACTTTTTATTGAGATTTCACTTAATCCCCTCACCCCTGTGAACTTGGGACGACTACATCTGCTTTACAGGTAAGAAAGGTGAAGCTGAAGCAAGCTCAATAACTAGCTCACTTACACCGCCGATAAATGGCAGAATTGGGATGTGAATCAAGGCAGCCTTAGAAAATGTACAGCCAGAAAACTCCTTCCTTACAAGAGGGGGTTGTGAGACTTTGGCTTGCTTTCTTTGGACATTAGGAAAGACCAGTCCCAGACAGGGACACCGCGGGTGGTAAAGCACAGGATCGGCATAAGTGAGGGAGACCCTCAGTGTGATGGACTGATACCATCGCCCCAACACTGGGCTCAAACATGCCAGTGGGCTTCCCTATGGTGCCACCAGGACCAAGCACCAAGCACCTGTTCTCAAAAAGGTCTCCCTCCCAGAGTTGGGAGTCGATTCAGTAGCAACTAACGACAGTCTTGTGCTGGAGATCCAGCTCTGTGGGACACTGCTGAACAACCTACTTAACAAATATAATATATTCAAAAGCTATCAGCTCATTATAAAGCCACTCTCAGGCATTGCTTCTGTGTTTTGAATCCATTCCTTTAGTATTGGCCTCTTGCACCAGTAAAGAGTCAAACAAGAAAATCTGTCTCTTCACATCATGGATCATTATTATTGTTATTAACATGGAAATAGTTCAGTCTCCTCTTCCTTCTGATCTAAAGCTTCGCAATCCAGTTTGATGATCAATGTTATATGCCTCCGTTGATCCTGGCTCACACTCTTGGCTTTTAAAATTCAAAGCCACCAATGAAAATTGATGTATTTTTAAAGATGATCTACTTTTAAAGACATCTAAGAAAATAAGTCATGGACTCTCTGACAGTCCTTCACAAGAGCCAGCCTTACCTGAACTAACCTGAGAATCAGAATGTGACATCCCACAAAAGGCCAACTTGGGGAAATAGCAGGTCATGTCTTCCCATGAAAAATTCAGTCTCTTGTCTCTGAGTAGCCCTGGGTCAGTGAGAGCACAGAACGCCAATGGACTGTGTACACAATATACCTTGTGGTCGCAAACACACAAGACACCAGGAAAGTGTGGGTACATGTGGTAGATCTCAAGTTCAGTGCTGTCCTCTGTTGTGCATGGGATACACCAAAGCAAATGTTCTTTCTCCTTTTCCATGGCCAACACATGAAGAAACTTCACAATACAAGGGGGTACACCTCCCCAAAACAGAATTTTTTTTCTTTTCTCCCCCCCACCCCCAAAACTGTGTAAAAATGTTTTACAATGCAACCGAATCACCTTCAAAGTACTCTCCATTACACTTAATGCGTTTGTCAAATCTGCCAATTCCTTTCTTGGAAACATTTTTCAAACTCATCTGTTTGGAGGGCTGACAGCACTTCCCTTGTTTTTTTCTTCGCCTCTTCTACATCATCAAATCGCTGTCCTTTCATGTCCCTCTTCATTCGTATAAACAAAAGGAAGTCGAATGGAGCAAGGTCAGGTGAGTAAGTTGCATGGGACCAGAGAGGCATGCTGTTTTTTGCCAAAAACTGGCACACTGTGATGGCTGCCATGAGCAGGTGCATTGTCGTGGGGGCAAAACCAGTCCCCTATCTGCCACAAATCAGGCCTTTTTTGTCTCACAGTTATACAATCTTTTCAGAACCTCTAAATAGAAAGCTTGATTAACAGTCTGACCTGGTGGAACGAACTCCAAATGCATTGTCCCTGTCACCTCAAAAAACAATTGAGCATTGGTTTTGGGGGGGGTACCCCCTGGTAGGTGCTTGTTGACCAGTTTACTGACCTAGCATGAAAGGTCATTATATTAAAAATAACAAGCTATCAGAAGGTAGAGCCTACACATGTTACCTTGCTTGTTCAGTGAAGTTCACAGTTCACACTGAAAGATATTAAAATATTTTTAAGAATTTTTAAAAAACTGAATAAGACAAAGATGTGTGCCATTACCAGATCTATCTAACACTGTACTGCAGATACTAGCCAAAGCAATAAAGCAAAAAAAATAAATAGTCTAAACCTGTGCTAACACAGTATGCACTGGAAACATGTAACAATTTAAATTGAAATTAGTTAAAATTAAATATTTGGTGCCTCCATCTCACTAGTTACATGTCAAGTGTTTAATAGACACACGAGGCTAAAACGATTATATTGGATAGTACAGGTCTAGAACATCTCCATCATTGTAGAAAATCCTATTGGACAAAGCTGGTCTGAGAATCAGAAAGGAAAGAGATAAAACTCATTATTTGTATAGGGCTATATTGACAAATGTCTAAAACATTACTAGAACATCAATTTTCTAAACGATTTACTATTAATCATGTATTATTAAAACTTAAATAGTTTAGCTAGGTAGCTAAAGTCAATATGTAAATGCCAATTATATTCTACATATTAGAAAATAATGTTTCATTTGCAAGAGTATCCAAATACACACACACTTACCACTACTGTCCCTACCCAAGCACCTAGTGATATAGCAAACAAAAGATGTTTAAGGCCTTTGCAGAGAAATATTTAATCATGTGTATCAGTGATCTCTTGGCTAGTACTTCTATATTCATCATCTTCATTTTATTCTCAAATTGACTCGCATCATCTTCATTTTATCCTCAAAGGTCCCACAAAGCAAGATATCGCCAGGATCACAGAAGACTCCAGTAGGATCGCCTGACTCCCCCAACCCTGTCAGGGTACTTCCAGTTCCCAACACCCTCGTGCCCAGGTGCCCAGCTCACACCTTACCTCGTTGTATAAATCGCTGAATTCCTCAACCACGTCCTTGGGGATCCTGCGGCCGCGGTTGGTAAGGTAACAGGCCACCCCATTCTTGGAGTAGAGGCTGATGCGGCCCACACTGCGCTCCCCATCAGTTGTCTCTTCCAGGAGCCCGTTGGCTTCTGCTAGATGATAGATGGGATTCCCGTGGGAGCCATGGATCCAGGTGGCTCCCAGCTCAAAAGTGGCGTGTCCTGGTGGTGACAACAACAGGTCCTTAGAGGGGCAAGAACTTCAGAGAGGGCCAGAATAATGCCTCGCTCTCTTTTTTCCAGAAAGATCCTTCCACCCTCCACAACAGGGCAGAAAAAGAAGACTAGGTATGTTTTCTGAAAGTCAACCAGATTTCCATGAAAAGCTCCCAGGAGAAGCCACGTGTGGCACAAGGGTCTCACTTTATACCTTATACAACTGGAGAGACATGCCCAGCCAACAGCCAGCCCCCAGACACAGAGGTAGAGGAACCCTGGTTACCTGTTAGACTAGGATCCACATGGGCAGCAATGTGAAACCAGCAGCTCCGAGAAAGAAAGATGAATCTTTCTACTCCCATAAATGGTTACAGTCTTAGAAACCCACAGGAAGGTCACTATGCACAGCATCAACTTGGTGGCAGTGAGTTTGGGGTTTTTTGAGACCCAGACGTAAGGCCATCCTAGACAAAGCAGTCCCAGACTAGTCGCCAAAGGAAAGCAGCTGTATAGGTGAGCATCAGATAGAAAAGCAAAAAAGAAGAATGCCTAGTTTCTGGGGGAGGTCGTACTGCTGTCTGTATTGTAGATCAGACAGCAATTGCGACATAACAGATCATCCCCGACACATAGTGGATTGCAACACCATGGCTTTATTTGCTTGTAATTCTGTATCAGCAACTAGTTGCTTTTCTATCTGATGCCAGGCCCTGATGGTCTCATCATGATCACACATGAAGGCCCCTTCCCTGAGGCTCCCAACCAGCTCTTATAGGGTCTTGCAGGTACCTGGGGCATTCCCCTCCCCCACCCCACTGGCTCCCAAGTGCCAGACACACACCTGTATGTGCTGGGAGAAAATGAACGCAACATCACATACCCTTTCCAGGAAATGCACTAGAGGAAGACATTGAATGTGATTGGAGTTCCTGCAAACACAGTACCCCTGTGTCTATAAGCTCTGCTTGTCCTAAGCCTGACCAGCTCCATGACCAGATTCCTCATCCCTCCCGTGGGCACTGCATCTGGCTGGCCCCACTGCCCAGTATGGGAACAGACCCAGGGGCACACTCCAGGTCAATATGTGCTCCACTGTGTCATTTCACGTTCTCCTTCCCACTCAGCCTCTCAGTGGCCAAATGCCCCCTAGCTGAGAAGTCTAGACCTCCCGCTACATTTCAGGTAACTTCCCCACCTGGCCCACCTTCATCCCTATCCAATGCTTTCTGTTCAGCCTTCATCACTGTGCAGCCTCTGCCCCGATATTCCCCAGGCCTGCACAGCACATACAAGGAGGACCCAAGCCCCACCACCTCCACTGAGCTCAGCTCCTACCACCAAGGGCTAGTACTCAGTCCTGATCTACTAATTCTCACTCAGAACTTAATGACTGATAGAAATGTGCAGATTTTCCCTTCGGGTGAAATAGAAACAGACACACCTGGTGCCAAGAGAGTCCCCTCCCACCTAAACAGTGCGAGCACAGGGAAGGGCTAAAAGAATGGGACTTCGGGATCCCCAGGGGCCAGGAGCTGAGAGTCAGGAGTGATGGCTGACCGCATGAGACAATGCTTAGGCTGGACCGGGGGGACGCTCACCAAGTTTCACGCTCTGCACACGTCCTCCGATGCGGCTGGAAGCCTCGAGTACAGTGACATCCGTGAAGCCCTGCTCCAGAAGCGCTTTGGTCGCTGCTAGGCCAGCCAAGCCAGCGCCGATCACCACCACGCGAGGCTGTCCCCTTCTCCACAGGCCACGACTGAGAGGGTCATTCGCACTGTCGCCACTGGATTCACAACTTTGCATACCGTCCGCACTCGCCCTCTAGGAACCTGTGGGCAGCAGGGGAGGGGCACTGAATGCTGAGGGGGTGCCCACCTCATTGGCCCCATTGGATGGATGGTCAGGGCTCCCATCACAAAGAGGGGCCTCAATCCTACCTCCCAAAGTCCTGGACAAGAGCCATCTGTGAAGGGAGTGGGAAGGTTGGAGGGATGGGGAAAACGGGGGGAGGAGACAAAAGGTAAGAAGAACACATTTGGATACCCACCAGCAGGCAGGACAGCCGGGAACTCCCCTTGTGCCCCTGAAACCCATCAATGCCACCCCAAACCTGCTAGACACTGCCTCTGTGTTGGCTGTGGATCCCAAGACTAAGAAATTAGCAGGTCAGAGAGGGGGTGACAAACAAATCCAGAGGTTATGGCCCTGGTGCTGCTCCACCTCAATCCACTCAGCCTGGCGCAGCAGCAGCAGGCCAGCTTACACCCAACCCAGATGCTCACAAGCAGCCCCAGGCCACCCCATGGGTGCCCACACAGGTCCCACAATGCTCACACACGGCACTGGATGCTCTGCCACTCCCTCCCTGCCCGGCTCTTCCCTGGCACTCTCGCTTCCTTGCCACTTCTTCTCCTCTGGCTTTCTGTTGGACTTTCACAGCCGCATGCTGGCCGCACTTTGGTGGGCAGGACATGTTCCATCCTCCTCCCAGAAAGTGCCACGAGGCTGGTGCCAGATGAGCCTCTGCTATTCCGGGTAAGTCTCTGGATGCTTTCTCTGACCACCCAGCCCCTCCGTCACCACAAAGTAGCAAGGAGCCAAGGACAGTCGGCCGTGAGGACCCGTGGTACCAGAGACCAGACATCAAATTGACAGTTACATTAAGCCAGCTTGCTCAGAGACGCCAGGCTAGGGGAGCTGGCCAGGGAGTCAGAACCTACTCTTTTCTCCCCAGAGTGGCCATGAGGGTTTGAGGTGTCTGGGGATCATCCTGGGGGTGGTGGGAGTGGGGGCGGTTCACTCAGCCCTGAGCCTGTCCCTGCTCCTTCCTGGACAAGAAGTTTAGATCCCGGTGGCCTTTGCTGAAGTTTCAATGGCATGGCAAAAGCTGCAGTGTCTTTCCAGCCAGTACCTAACAGCAGGGGAGCTGCTTTGGGTGGAAGGTGGCTGTCAGCAGTGGTCAGGGGTGTATACAAAGCTGTCACCCACATCTAATTAAAGCTGAACATAACCTTGCCCGGGACAGAGCAATCCCATTCCTATGAACTCAAGAGAAGTAAGACATATCCCACCAAGTAGACATGTTAGAGAACGTTCACAGCCACATCCGGTTTGCAGAAGGCTGTGGATGACAGCAGAAGATCCAGATCCATTTGCAGGGCCCCACATGGAGTAAGCCTCTGGTGACTCTCCTCGGCCCACAGCCGAGGGATGTGAACAGCCTTGTTATCAGACAGACAGCACTGTTAAGTCGATTACAGCAGATGCACTTATTAAACCCAACACCTTATTGTTTGATCTCCCTCTTGACCCATTTTAAAGTTGTTTCAGGTTTTAGTGTTTCCTGCTTTCTTTTCGTGTGAGGTTTTTCTATGTTTTACCTAGTTGTTGTTGGTTTGTTGTTTGTTTACTGTGTATGGTTTTGTATGATTGTGTTTTGTTTTGTGTGTTTTTTTGTCTATGAAATCCAGGACAGGTAGATCTACAGAGACTGTAATTGGATGGGGGTGTGGTAAAGGAGGATGGTGGAAAATGAGGAGCCAATAACAATGAGTATGAGCCAAAAATGTTCTGGAATTTATTGTGGTGATGACTGCACAAATCTTCTCAATATGATTGAATGATTATATGATATGTGAAGTATATGTCAATAAAACTATTTTTAAAAAAAGGATGTTCACAGCAGTTTTGTTCATGATAGCCCAAACTGGAAACAACCATAATGTCCATCAACATGAGGATCAACAAATAGGGTATGCTATAGGTAGCAAATACACATGTAATGTATGTGTGTGTGTGTGTGTACACAGTGGATTTAAATATATATATATATACACACACATATACATTTAACTCCACTGCCATTGAATCAATTCCAACTCACAGTGACCCTGTGTAGGGTTCCAAAACTGCAAATATTTAGTGAATCAGAGCTTCAACTTGTTCGCAGAGTATGGACTGGTGGGTTCGAACCACCAGCCTTAGCAGCCCAGTGCCATCAGGGCTCCTTATTTACATAAGGCTCTTCAACAACAAGAAGGACTGGTGCACTCTGACGATATGATATTGAGCAAAAGAAGCCCGGTCTGTACGGCTCCATTTACATGGCGTTCTTAAGAGGACACAAAACAAGTCCTTGATGATAGAGGCCGAAAGAGAAGTTAAACTCTCTGAAGAGTCGGGAGGGAACATTCTAGGGGATGGAGAATGTTCCCTATCTTGATCTGCGGGGTGGTTACCCAGCTGTTCCTAGAGATGAAGATTTGCTGAGCTGTATGTCGTTAAGATCTGTGCGATTTACAGGATTCTGTGTAAGTTACACTTCTGTAAAATGATGGCATCCGTCTTGCCTACTTTTCATGCGCGTGGGGAGAAAAGGAAGGCAGCATGTGACCGGCCAACGTTCAACTTCCTTCCCCACAAATGGAAGTCTGATCCTGGAACACGCCCCCCCCCCACCCCACCCCCCAAGGCCTCACCTTGATCTGCTCCCTCTGTCACCGTCTTATTTTCAAAAGTCGACAAGCGGTTCCCTTGCACCTCCCACCTGCAACACCTGGGCTAGTTTCTGGCGCTGCCAAGGGCAAGAATAAGGGCCCTGGAGTCCCACCCCTCAAAACCAAGCAAACCAAACTCACAGCCCCGGAGTCTATTCGGACCCACAGTGCCCCGACCGCAGGGCAGGGTAACCGGCTCCCTGGCGTCTCAGAAGCAGTTAGTACCCCAACTCCGGGTCTGGTGGGTGAGAATTGCCAACCTTCTGGCTAGCAGCCTAGTGTTTAACCCGCTGGGCCACCAGGGCTTCTCTAGGGCTGCTGACACCCCCACCGCTGGGCCCAGGGCGCAGGTCGGGCGGCTGCACCGCGAGTTCGAGCTCCCTCAGGGGCAGAAGCTCCGCGTTCAGAGCGGGCACTCCCCGTTCAGGGGTAAGAGCTCCCCGTGGAGGACAGGCTCAGGGCTCCCTGCACCGTCAGGTCCGGGGCCCAGAGGCCACGCGGGGGAAGGCTCAGGCCCTGCCTCCTCCCACAGGGCGTTCTGCACCGTGCCGGGCCTCCCTCCCAGATGCCCGGTGCCTGGCCTCCTGGGAAGGTGGGGGTCAAGCCTCTCCGCCCTGGCTCCTCGCCGTCCCCCCTCCCCAGGTTCTCCTTCCGGTGGACTAAATGCAGAGGTGAGGATGTGGTGCCTACACAGGTGGCTGGAGAAGGGAGCAGAGGGCTGCGACAAGGCCCCCTCCAGCCGTCTGGGCCCCCGCCCCCGGATGCGTCCGGCGGGTGCTGAGTCAGGTTTGTAACACGGGCGGGCGTGCTTGGGGGGACCCTGGGCCAACTGCGCTGACGCCACCACTGCCGGGCACCCTGTGATCGACCGACCGACTGCAGACAGACAGCGACGTGGCAGCTCCTGCCCCACCCCCACGTCCACAACTGCGGTGGGAGGGGGGGCGCACGTGCGCTGCTCTGTCAACAGGCTGATGCCCTGGCGTCAACCCCACCCCAGAGCCCTGCCCTAAAATGACCTCTTATATACACTGCGGTTATATACACTCCCAAACTTCACTGGGAGAACCCCTTCTCTAAAAGCTCCCTAGGGCACAGGGTGTCACTGGATGAAACTGGGAGCCCAGCTGCTCCCCCAGAATCCCCATCACACAACTCCCAGGACCCTACCTCTGAAAACCCAGGCAGGGGCTGTCTGAGAAGCCAGTGCAGGGACAAGAATGCTGGAATGCCAACCCTGTGGGAGGGTCCCCTGAACTTCCTGGCTGCCTGGAACCCCAGTATTCTTCCAGCTGGTCCTCACTCCAGGACAGCAACAGTTAAACAGGGCCCTCTGTGGATGTCACAAGACTCAGTGTTTTCCAAAACCTCCTGAGTGATAATAAATGGTAAAGCTAAATTTACAACAGAAAAGTGGATGAAGGGAGACAGCGGTAGGTGTAAGGCATGGGGGAGTGGGGGGATTTACAAATCATCAAGGGTTCATGGGGAAGGGACAGTGGGGAAAGGGGGGAAAAGGGGGGAAATGAGGAGCTGATATTAAGGGCTCAAGTAGAAAATGTTTTGAACATGATTATGGCAACGTGTTACAAATGTGCTTGACATAATGGATGGATGGATGGATGGATTGTGATAAGATCTGTAAGAACCCCCAATAAAATGATTCATAAATATATATATAAAAAGCTAAATTTGGGGACAGAGTTCAGGCGTGGCTTGTGGCAGACACAGGCAGGTGAGGTGGCTTGTGTCTAGGACAAACACAGGAAGGACCCCCAACTTCTAATGCAATGGTCTCAAAGACCCAGGGCACATGCAGCCGTGGACACACAGAGATGCAGCAGATAAGCAAGGGTAGCATCAGGCACCTGTACCCCTTATCTTCAGTGGGGCTACAGCTAACCGCAGTGTGTCCCTGCACTGGCATTGTCCAGATGGGCCCTGTCGACCCCTGGTGTCCCCAAGAAGCTAGAGAAGTCCCCATGGCCCACCAAGAACAGAGAGAGAGGCATCTGCCCTCAGCCCCCATCTCAGCCCAGGTTGGTGGGGGTGGGGGGGTGAGAGAACCACCTCCAGGACCAAGCTACTGTGGGCTAGGGGTCAGCTACATGCTGAAGTGGATTTGCTGACACTGCTATCTCCAGGTGCATCTCTGGTGGTAGAGTGGTTGCGCTGCGATCCGCATGGTCAACAGTTCGAAACCACCTGCAGCTCTGTTGGAGAAAGACTAGGCTTTCTACTCCCGTAAATAGTAACAGTCTCAGAAACCCACAGGGGGTCGCTATGAGTCAGTATTGATTAATGGCAGAGTGAAGAATCTGGGGGTGGGGGTA